GCTGAACTTGTAGTGGATAAAGCCATGGAGTTAAGGTTTGTGGGTGGCGTCTATGGTGGCCACATAAAACCAACTCCTTTTCTGTGTTTAACCTTGAAGATGCTTCAAATTCAGCCCGAGAAGGATATCATTGTAGAGTTTATAAAAAATGAAGATTTCAAGTATGTCCACATGTTGGGGGCACTTTACATGAGGTTGACAGGCACTGCAATTGACTGCTACAAATACTTGGAGCCTTTGTACAACGACTATCGAAAAATCAAGAGCCAGAACCGAAATGGGGAATTTGAATTGATGCATGTAGATGAGTTTATTGATGAACTACTGCACAGTGAGAGAGTCTGTGATATCATTCTGCCCCGGCTACAGAAACGTTATGTGCTAGAGGAAGCTGAGCAGCTGGAGCCTCGAGTTAGTGCTCTAGAAGAAGACATGGATGACGTGGAATCCAGTGAAGAGGAAGAAGAGGAGGATGAAAAGTTGGAAAGAGTGCCATCACCTGATCACCGCAGAAGAAGTTACCGAGATTTGGACAAGCCCCGCCGTTCTCCCACTCTGCGCTACAGGAGGAGTAGGAGCCGGTCGCCCAGAAGGCGGAGTCGATCTCCCAAAAGGAGAAGCCCCTCCCCCCGCCGAGAAAGGCATCGGAGCAAGAGTCCAAGGCGTCACCGCAGCAGATCCCGAGATCGACGGCACAGATCTCGCTCCAAGTCACCAGGTCACCACCGTAGTCATAAACACAGGAGCCACTCAAAATCTCCTGAAAGGTCTAAGAAAAGCCACAAGAAGAGCCGGAGAGGGAATGAGTAATGGACTCAGTTTTGTTTTAATCCAAAATGGCCTCCTCTGTATATGGGGTATCTGTCTATGTGGAAGAATTAAGATTCCATGGGCAGCTGTAAGATTATTTTAGGTTTTTTATCAAGTTTCTCCACTTTTTTTTTTAATGAAAGTGGTGCTGAGTTTTGTATCTCTTTTTGAAATGTAACCAACATCTTTGAGGGATAAAGATGTTTCCCAAGGTCAGTTTTTGACCCAGCCAACCTTTGACTATTCAGACTTATCAGGGTAGAAAGGATTTGGAGGTTGGGGATATGAATGACAAGGAAAGGATGTGGCCACCTCATGACCCTTTCCCATTTTGTTATTAAACTTGACAAACTTGTTTCCCATTTTTCTGTAGTTTAGTTTTTATTTGCTGTGATCGGAACTGCTTTGAAAATCCTGGGGTGTGTGCTATTATTCAAAGATCAGATCAGTAAAACATAGAAGCTCCTTTCTTCCAAGCAGCAGCAAATGGTAATAAACATGAACACTGGTTAACAGCACTTGTCCAAGACAGAATGCATTTAAATGTAAGGCTTCTTCTGGATCATTTAATGAAGCTTCACTGAACACTTCAACAGATAATAGCTATTTTTTATTAAGCGCATTCTTTGTAGTTCCGTTTGTTCTTCCCCACAAACCTTGAAAGTCAGGTTAAGGTATTCAGTCTAAGTTTATTATACGAGCATTGACATTTTCCAAGCTTAGTTAGCAGCAGTAGGGCAAAAGAACTGAAAAAGATTTGATGGAGAGTAAAGTATCTAACACTACTCATGGTTTTGACCTGATTTGCCAGACAGAAAATACACAGGGAAGAGACAACTTTTAGAGGGGCAAGGAATGAGAGGACTGTGGTGGTGGTACAAATGATGCATTCAGTTTAACAAGTTGAATTTGAGACAGCTATGATATAGCTAGATAAAGCCCAGGGACTAAAGCTCAGCATAATGATCTAGGCCAGAACTGACAAAGTGTAGGTAATTGTGGAAGATGTAGATGAGAATGCCCAGGGATTGTGTGTGCCTGTATGTGTAAGAAAAGCAACACGACTATAGGCAACACCAACACTGGTCAGAAAAAAAAGTACAAGTCCCCCCTGTTGAAAACTGGAATGACCCATTCAGAAACAGAATTAGGAGAGAGTAGATCAAAGGCAAGGATCTAAGGATTCAGGAGCAAAGTAAGGCCTAAAAAGTCTTCATGAGCATTGATAAAAGATTATTAGGATCTTTACTAGAAGAGTTCCTTTTATCAGTACTTAAACTCCTGTAAAAAGGAGAAAGTGATTGGATGAATTCCTGCAGCTCTGGTCCCAGTAGGAATTGTGAAGACCATCTATTTTACAGGATCATCTTTCTTGGAAAGTCATATTTGGTGATAAACATTTTATTGCTTGCTCTTGAACTGAAGGACTTTTGCAGCAGTGTTAAAGCATTTTTTAATCTATTTTTTGAGCTTTCATATTCTTCATTAATTCTTTTCATAACATCTGGCTTAGTAAAAGTTGTCCATAAGAGCTATTATGGTTTCTGATACAACTATATATAATAATACCTTTTAAAATTAAATATAAGCATCGCTACTTAAATCTGTTATAGAGTCCTAGTAGTTATTTCTTTGCTAACGTAATCTAGATGGAAAGAAATGTCTTCTGATTAAGTGACTTGTGGACCAACCCAAGTCATCATCTGGTATATTGTTAAAATAAGACTTTTGTTTTAAAGTAAACACACAAAAACCCCAACATATTTTAATAACAGAGAAATAAAGCTCCCCAAACAAACTTTAAAGCATACTTATTTAGACATATTGTGAAATCTAGACCAAAATTGCGGCAGCACAACCAGCCTATAGCAAGAAGCAGAGTGTCCCTATTCTTTACTTAGAACAAAGTGATAAGAGACACTCTAAACATCTGTGTAGATATCATTTTAATAAGCAATTGAAGAGGAGATGGAACTAAAGGATAAAATTTGCTGTGAGGCTATTTCTGTTATCTGTGCTAGCCTGTCCGATGAGGCCTTGGAAGGGTTGCTTAAAGGCTTTTTGACTAAATCACGGACTACATTTTAAAAATATATTTTACATCTTAATTCTGTACATACATATGTATATTCTGTACTGAAACAAATTTCAGAAAATAATTCCTATTCCTTATGCAAAATGAACTGATACTACTTACCAGTTTTTAATATTGAGTGTAAACCAGTAAACTGATTTTACTTCCCACAAATTTGAAATACACTGCCTTAAAAACTTTGCCATTGGACACAATGACTGCTTAATACCAAGAAGTGAAGGGAGATGTATTAGCGGGCAGAAAGGAAATAAATGAGAGACTTGGTGATAGGGTTCCAATGTAACAACCCAACTTAAAGCTCATTCCACTGACTTACTGTTATTCTTCAGTAAACTGACTGAAGTTTAAATAAGCATTAATCAGAGAATGATCACAGATGCTGCCCACTCCCTCAGAAAGGTGAATGTGAATGTGACATAAATTCCCCCATAGACTCAAACAGCAGACATAATCTGGTTTTTTTGTTTGTTTTTGTTTTTTTTTTTAGATGGAGTCTCACTATGTGGCCCAAACCGGAGTGCCGTGGCATGCTCCCAGCCACCACAGCCTTGACCTGCTGGGCTCCGGCGATCCTTCTGCCTCAGCCTTCCAAGCAACTGGAACTATAGGCAAGCACTACCATGCCCGGCTAATTTTTGACTTATTGTAGAGATGAGGTCTCACCAAGTTGGCCGGGCGGGTCTCGGCCCATAATCTGTTTTTAAAAATGCAAATATAGAGATGCAAAAAGGGATTGATTCAAAGAAAATAGCCAGGCGCAGTGGCTCACACCTGTAATCCCAGCACTCTGGGAGGCTGAGGCAAGAGGATTGCCTGAGCCCAGGGTTTGACACCAGCCTGGGCAACTGGGCGATACCTCATCTCTACAGTAAACTTACTCGGGCATGGTGGCACGTGCCTGTAGCTCCAGCTACTTGGAAGGGTGAGGCGGAAGGATTGCCTGAGTTCAGCAGGTTGAGGCTGAGGTGACCATGAGCGGGCTGCTGCACTCCAACATGGGCGAGACTGAGACTCCGACTCAAAAGAAAAAAAAAAGAGATGGAAAATAAGGCTGGTGGAGCTTACAGGCCTTATTATAGACCACAAAATATAAAACAACAGCAGAGAAAATACGCTGGAGGAAATTAAAAATGGAAAAGAATAACGGGATAACGTCTATAAAAATAACAAAACACATGAAAGTAAATTCAATCTATCAACAAATATCCTGATGAATTAAAAAGATAAAGAATTAGGCTGCGCTTGGTGGTTCAACCTGTAATCCCAGCACTTTGGGAGGCCAAGGATAGTGGATTGCCTGAGTTCGGAATTTCGAGACCAGCCTAGACAACAACTACAATAAATTTAAAGAAAAAAAAAAAAAGCCAGGCATGGTAGCACACGCCTGTAGTTTCAGCTACTTGGAAGGCTGGGGTGGAAAGGTTGCTGGAGTCCAGCAGGTCGATGCTGGGGTGGCCATGAGTGTGCCACTGCACTTCAGCCTGGGCGAAAGAGTGAGACTCCAATTCAAAAAAAAAAAAAAAAAGATAAAGAATTAAATGAGAATCTGGACAATATGATGAGACTCCACCTCTACAAAATTTTTTACAAATTAGCTGGGTAGAGTAGTATGTATCTGTAGTCTTAGCTACTTAGGAGGCTGAGGCTGGATGATAGCTTGAGCATAGGAGTTGGAGACTGCAGTGAGCTACAATGCATCACTGCACTCCAGCCAGGGCAATAAAAGGAGACTTCCCTAAAAAAGAAAAATTGCTGGGCACAGTGGCTCATGCCTGTAATCCCAGCACTTTGGGAGGTGGAGACAAGAGGATTGCCTGAGCCCAGGAGTTCGAGACTAGCCTGGGCAACTGGGCAAGACCTCGTCTCTACAATGAATCAAAAAATTAGCCGGGGCATGGTGGTGCATGCCTGTAGTTCCAACTACCTGGAATGCTGAGGTGGCAAGGATTGCCTGAACCCAGCAGGTAGAGGCTGCAGTGGCCGTGAGTGTGCCACTGCTGCACTCCAGTCCGGGAAACAGAGTGAGAATTCAACTCAAAAAAAGAAAAGAAAATTTAACTAATTAATTAACAGTGGGAGTCCAAGCAGAGAAATCAAGTCATGTATAACAGGAGGAAAAATCAAGGTGGTCTCAGATCTCATAACTTCAGAAGATAATGAAGCAAACGGCTCCAACAGTTTGAGAAAAATAGTGTGCCAGGAGTTATATACTCTGCCAAAGTTGTCTTAAAATATAAGAGAACAGACATTCTCAAGTATATAAGAACCAAAAGCATGCAGTCATGAACCTTTGGGAAAAAACTGCCTGATAATAAAATTCAAAGAAAACATGAATCAAATTAAGGACCTAGGAACAAAGAAGCAGTAAAGGTGTGGTAGTAAACACATTAGAAACTTTTAAAAATAACAGGAAATGATTTTAAGTTCAAATAAATATTGTGAACATGGTTTACATAAAAATAATATAATCAGAAGTGGAGAGCTTCAAGTATACTTACTGGCTTCATTGATAGCAGAACTCACACACAGTCCCTAATTCAAACATACATGAAGCTAGAAAAAATAGCTTTTCTAGCTGGGCATGGTGGCTTATGCCTGTAATCCTTACACTTTGGAAGGCAGAAGCCAGAGGATTGCCTGCGCCCAGGGGTCCGAGACCAGTCTAGGCAACTTGGCAAGACTTCGTCTCTACAATAAATTCAAAAATTAGCCGGTTGTGGTGGTATGCACTTGATGTTCCAGCCACTTGGAAGGCTGAGGTGAAAGGATCACCTGAGCGCAGCAGGTTGAGACTGCATAGCTGTGAGAATGGTACTGCACTCCAGCCAGGGCAACAAAGTAAGGCTCTGACTCAACAACAACAAAAATATCTTTTTTAGGCAGCAGATATTCTTGCTGTTGTCCTGCCTGTTGTACCCTTCACAACATATCTATCTGTTAAAAAATCTATCTGAATTTAAAAAATAACTTCTTTAGTGTTTCATGTAATTGTCCTCAATTTTAGGAAGAATCAGAACTAGATTCTACTGTGGGAAAGAAATTTAAGTTGAGCATTTCTTCAATTTCACACTTATTTTCCTCCTCTTACATATAAGTAAAATTAATTTTCTATGTTCACTAAATATAGTATATGAG